CAAGTCTTTCCATTTCTTTACAAATGGGGCAATGCATTCTTTCTGAAGGAAGCATAGAATTCCATTGTGTATAAATACCACATTTTCTTGATCCATTCATTCACTGAGGGGTATCTGGGCTGATTCTATATCTTTGCTTTAGTCAATAATACTCCAAAGAACCATGGTTGTGCTGGTGGCTTTAGTGTAGCCTGGTTTATGGTCATTTGTGTAAATACCCAAGAGTGGGATTACTGGGTCATAGGGAAGCTCTACGTTTAATATTTTGAGGAACCTCCATTCTGCTCTTCAGAGTGATTGAACAAGTTTACATTCTCACCAACAGCATGGTAGCATTCCATTTTGGCCACATTCCCACTAGAATCTATTATTATTACTTTTCTTGATAATGGACATTCTAACTGGAGTGAGGTGGAATCTCAATATTGCTTAGATTTGCATTTCTTTTATGGCCAAAGATGTTGAACATTTCTTCATGTGTCTATTGGCCATTCTTATTTCTTCTTTGGAGAAGTCTCTCTGTAAGTCTTTAGTCTCCTTATTAATGGGGTTGTTGTTTCTTTGAGAACTCATTTTGGGGGTATTTAATTTTTTGAGCCCTAAGTATATTTTAGATATGAAGCTCTTCTCTGATGCATAGCTAGTAAAGATCTTTTCCCCTTCTGTGAGCTTTCTATTTATCTTGCTAGCTATGTCCTTTGCCATACAGAAACTCTGAAGTTTAATGCAGTCCCATTTATCCAGCCTTTCTTTGATTTGTTGTGTTTCTGGATCTTTACGTAGGAAGTTTTGATATGTGCCAAGGAGCCTTAGTGTTTTCCCTAGCCTATCCTATAATATTTTCAAGGTATCTGGTCTTACATTGAGGTCTTTGATCGATTTGGAATTGATTCTGGTGCAGGGTGATATATAAGGATCTAACTTCAGTTTTCTGCAGGTGTATTCTACATTTCTAGAAGGTTCTTATCATCATGGTAGGATGATGGTCCCATAAACAAGTTTCTTGAGGTTTGTACAGATTAGTTAAGATGTGAACATTTTCTAACTGCTTTGTATGGTAGAAACCAATATTTTTCAGGATGCTGTTATTGTACTCCTGTAAAGACTTTTTCTTTATTGTCACATTCATAATGGTAATACTTACCTGTGTAAGTTGTCCCTGTTGTAGAAAATGGAGGCTGTACCTACCAAAGGTGGTTTTAACATTATACAGTCAAACTCTGGCTTTTGTATCTGGTGTTACAAGCCATTTTGTTTTTTTATTGTACATAGCCACATGGTCTTTTTAAGATGCTGCTGAGAGTGTAGCCCAAACATCATAAACAATAACAGTTTAAAACGAAAAATGGTGCTTCCTGGAGCCCCTGGTTGGCTTGCTTTTCCATCCTGTAGTTCTCTTCTAGACTCCAGAACTGAAGAAACAAGTTTCTGTTCTTCAAACATTACCCATTCTCAGCCTGAGGAGATGGATGAAGACAGACTTTGGGATGGCAAGTAATGGAGGATAGGTTTGATCGAGATTGGAAAGGGTGCGTTAGTCAGGGTTAGGGAATATCATGAAGAATGGCTAAGCCATACAGGCCACGAACAAAAGGCATGAATATATTGGAAAACAGAGACTGGTTGAGTTATTTACGATCTCTGAGCCCTGGGAGGAATGAGGGAGAAATTGTTGCATATTTTCTTCCTTTGCCTTCATCCTGTGCCCTCTGCTAGAAAGTGAGTCTTCCTGTTTGTCTCTGGCACAGAGCGTCAGTCATTAGGGAGGGTGGTTCTAACTCTCAGCAAGGGCAGCTTCATGTAGAACTCTGCTGTTAGAGGATTTTAGAGAGTTTAGTGGTTCCTGCCAGAGGTCTTGTCCAAATCCTGAGGTATCTGCTAAATGCTATGTTTGGGAGGAATCCCAAATAGCTAAGAAGGAGGCAGGAGGGGAATTCCTCTCTGACCCTAGGATACAAAATCCACTCTTGCTCAGGATCTTGCAGTTTAATTACCCACATTGTTAACTTGCCTTGCTGCAACTGGCTTAGACTTGTCAAAGTATCTGGTCCTTTGATACACAGTCACAGCCTGGTGACCTCCTGCTAATTAATTGGGAAGGGTGGGAACTAGGGAAATCCTTTCCCCTCCCTTCAGTTCTGCCAACTTGGCTTTGAACCTCTTGAGTATTTTGGCCAGAGAATGTGTGTTCCCCAGGACCTCACCCTCCCTCTGCCCCCACCTCTGCCCCTCCCCACATTCTGTGAGCTCTTTGATAATCCCATACATTCACTTTGTGAAATTAATTTTGACCTGACCTTTTTTTTTATGTGTGCTGCCCTTGGAAGGCATCTGGCTAATTTATCTCATCCTTCCTTGAGCTTCTGACCATAAAACAAACGGCTCTGAAAATTCACCATTGCTCTAAAATCTTGAGGAGGGTTTCTTTCCTTATTCCTACCAGGATGTAAATGATTGTTTATCTTTCTTAAACCATTGAAAAGGAGAGAGAATGGAACTTTTGAGGTAACTCCAACCATTTAAAAAGTGCTTCTTTTCAAAGCAAATTTGAAAGGAAGTCTTTGTAGGGGATTTTTTTTTCAGTCCTGGGTGCATTCATGATCATTTGGGGCATGTAGAAAGAGAAATATTCAGTTTCCTAGACAAAGTTTTTTCCAGATTTTTCTTTCCCTTCTAGAGAGCCACAAGCCAAACTTAAATGAACCATTTATGGCATCATGTCTTTTACTCTGAATTTGTCTTTCTTCCTCTTCTACACCAAGCTCCTCATAGATTATTTCTCTGACAACCCTCTGTCCTCATAATTTTATTTAGTTGCTCATACCTGGGGAAGGAAGGTAAATGGACATGAGCAAGAAATTGAGCAGACTGGGTCCCAATTCTATCTTTGCCTCTTACCTCTGTGTGCCCTTGAATAGCATGTGTAAGGGCTCTCATTCTATGAGCCTGAATTCTGACAGCATTGTTTGGTTTGGGTTGTTGGTGGAATTCATCTAAATGGAGTAATACAACTTACATTCTTTGGTTTTTGACTAAAGTTTTTTGGTTTTGTTTTTTTTTTTGTTTTTGGTCCCAGACCGGGCCTTGAACTCAGTGCCTGATGCTTTCTCTCATTAGCTAGCGCTCTACCAACTGAGCCATGCCTCCCACCTCTTTAACTTCTTTAACTCAATATTGACTTCTTTAACTCAATATGTTTGTGGAGATTTTTTTCTGGTTCATACTTGAAATAGTTTATTCAGTCAGGTTCATCAGTTCCTGGGTTTGGACATTTATTTGTGCTTTTTCCATGATAAGAAATCAAGAGTTGGGCTGGGAAGGTGGCTCAGTGGTAGAGCGCTTGCCTTGCATGCATGAGGCCCTGGGTTCGATTCCTCAGCACCACATAAGCAAAAAGAAAAAAGCCGGAAGTGGCGTTGTGGCTCAAGTGGTAGAGCGCTAGCCTTGAGCTGAAGAGCTGAGGGACAGCATCCAGGCTCAGAGTTCGGGCCCTACAACCGGACAAAAAAAAAAAAAAGAAATCAAGAGTTAATGATCATTCTTATAGAACCTCACATTCAGATTGTTGAGTAACATTACATGCTGGGTCCTCAGGAAACTTGGAGAGGTATTTGAGGTATTTGCTTGATTTCTTTCCACCTTCAAGGTCTAAGTTGTGTTGAAGATCAACCCCGTGTTAGCCAGCTTCCTATTACAGTAACAAAATACCTGAGATAAAGCAACTTTGAGAGGAAAGGTTTCATTGGCTCTCTGGTTTCATTACACGTTCGTTGGCCGTATTGCCTCTGGGCCTCGGGTAATATGGCCAACTGGTAGATATCCCTGATGAAGGAAGCTGCCCTATGTCATGGCAGCCAGAAAGAGAGAGAGAGAGAGAGAGAGACAGACAGACAGACAGACAGAAAGACAGACAGACAGACAGACAGACACAGAGACACAGAGAGAAAGAGGAGCCACAATCCCTTTGAGGGCATGCCCCCAGATGACATAAAACCTCCCACTAAGCTCCACTTCTTGAAGATCGCCACCACCTTTTAATAGCTGTAAGCTGAGGGCAAAGCAACCTTTTATACATGGGCCTTTGTGGGACATTTCAGATCCAAACTATAGCAGAGAACCAAAGAAAAGATCAGAGAGTAGAGGAATTGGACTGCAATGAGTTCATAACAATGCCCCAGCCAACCAATGGGGAGCTCTAGGGCTGAACTAGCCCTATGAAGCTGTATCAGAATGAGGAAGGAGGTCAGATCTTTGAACAGCTGCACTGACCAGTCATTGGATGTGCATTAACTTAGAGATGGGAACATGACTTTAAGGGAGACATCTCATATAGACAGAGAGTAGAAGCTACATGTAGGAACTGCCAGACATTCTCATTTTTTGTTGCTGGTAGAATAGATATTACAGCCTCAAAATGTCTAAAGTGTGTATGTATGAGGCAGGAGGATGAATCTGAATGGTGCACCCAAGTGTCTACTGCATGTAATTTCTAAGAATTGAATTACTGCTTCATAGGTAATAGGCATGTTCATTTTTGGTAGACATTATTAAGCTCTATTCTAATATGTTGGTACCTGAATACCACTTCAATGTAGATGCTGATGCCCCCAAACTGAGCTCTTACTATAAAGATAAAGGAGACTTAATAGAACAGGAACACCTGTGAGAATATTTTATATATCAATATTATATATATGTAAGTATATATGTAAATTAAATCATATAAATCATATATAAAATTATATATTCATGCTTATATATGTACATATGAATATATTACATATAAATATGTAATTATACATTAATTATATATAAGTTTTTGTATCCTGGAGGAAAGCAAAGTTGGCTATTTATCATTCTCTAACATAGTTTGGCTTCCTGAAAACACTGTTTGAGTTGTTCTGAGATCTAGTCATGGGATTAGCAGATCCTAGTATGCTGAGAAAAGAAAGAAAATATGGTATAGGAATTGACTATCGCTTCAAATTTCATGTTTTCAGAGTGGCCAAATCCATGAAGGTCCCTGTGTACGAGACGCCAGCCGGATGGAGATTCTTCTCAAACCTAATGGACTCGGGACGGTGCTCTCTGTGTGGAGAGGAGAGTTTTGGCACTGGTAGGTTTTGTTGGATTGTTGGTATCAGGGAAAGTGAGTGTAGTAATGTGAGCCTCCACATCTCCTCTGGAGATGTACAAAACTTTTATGAATGATTGAAGGCAAACAAACAAACCCCGTTCTTTTGGGCAATCTTTTAAGTTTTTTCTTTCTTAAATTTTTTTCTGTTATGGATTTTTTTAAAGTACATACATAGTCAGGTGTTGGTGGCTCATGCCTATAATCCTAGCTACTAGGAGGCTGAGACTTGTTTGATGCCAGCCCAGGCAGGAAAGTTTGTCAGACTTTTATCTCTGATTAACCACCAAAATGCCAGAAGTGGAACTATGACTCAAGTGATAGAAGTCTAGCCTTGAGCAAAAAAGTTGAGGGACAGCACATGGGCCTGGAGTTCAAGCCCCTGGATTAGCACAAAGCCCAAAACAAACAACAACAACACGTACAGGTAGAGAGAGTATATCAATCCTTGCTGCCTGTGACCCAATTTCAACTTTCATTAACTCATGGTCAGTCTTTGTTGTTGTTGTTGTCGTTATGATTATTGTTATTTTGTAGCACTACAACATTACACTCAGGATGTCACTCGTGCTAGGTTACTGTTACTGAACACTGAGCACTTTTATCCCCAGCACTTTTGAATTACCTAGGCTGGTCTCAGATTGATAGTCTTCATACCTCAGCCCCAGAGCAGCTGGAATTAAAGGCATGTGCCTGCTGTCATTTCTTTTTTGCTTTTTGGAATTCACAGTCAATCCTGCCTTATTTCTATCCTCTTTTTCTAAGAGAACCCTCCTCTCTGATTGATGTGAAGCATTACCCTGCAGCTTAGGATATTCACCTTGAACATTTCAATGTGATTTTTAAAATAAATGGGTTCTTCTGAAAAAAATATAATCATGAAACCATTATCATATTTAAATGTTAAAAAATACATTTTTTTAGTACTTGAAAAATACCATTTCATTGTCTTCAGGCTAACAGTTTCCAAGAAGTCTGATATAATTCCTCTTTTTAAAAAACATCTATTAGTTGTCCAAGAGGGTTTCATTGTCACATTTCCACACAGGCATACAATGATGAACCTTCTTGAACCTCACTCCCTGTCCTCCACCCACTCTACCTCCTTAAAACAATTTCATCAGGTTTCCTTGTTTTGTTTTCCTTCATGCAGATAAACGAGTCTGAGTGTATTGGTCCTCATTAAACCTCTTCCTTAGCTCTCTTCCATCCTACTGGCACCCCCACCCCACTTCTGAGTCTGTTTTACTGTCTTGTCATTCATTTTTAGGATTATTTAATGACTTTTTTTGTTTTTATGGGATACCAGGGAATTGAACCCAGGGCCTCACGTATGCTAAGTAAGCACGCTACCACTAAGCCACAATGCCAATCTCCTAGTTTAGAGTTTTGACATTTCTGTTCTCCTTTCTAATTTGATTGGCATTTGCATAAAAACTATTAGTAGGTTTTAAAATTAGCTTGCATCCCCCTTAGTTCATTCTGTTACGAATCATAGAGTTTTATTTTCCAAAACAGTTTGCAAAAGTATACAGTCATGACACATGACTAGAAGATAAAATCTTTGACTTCATTTCTGTATACATAGAGAATAGACGTGGATGTACATTTAGACATAGAAAATATGTGGAATCTATGACTGAAAAAGTTGCATTTTTCCCCTATTGAATACCTTTTATTTTATATTATCTTATTGTATAACTACCATCTTCAAATGATATTAATAACTGTGAGTGTTCACATTTTTAATGGAAATGAATTTAGTATTGTACTGTTTGCTTTTTAATATTAGTAAAATATCATATTTATGTAGATAATTTTTTTCTATTCATATTTAACCAAGTCTTATTAGAAATGACTTTAGGGTTTATTAGACATCCTGTGGAATTTGGTGACATATTTTGCTCTTTGATTATATAAATACATGCATGTATTTTTCTCTTTCCTTATATAAGTTTAATGAAATGTTTCTGACATTCAATGTTGAATCATTCCAGAATTCCTAAGAATAAATCCATTTTTTCCCCTAAGAATAAATTCTGTCTGGTCAGACCTAAACTGAATCCATTTTAAATGATTTAGATAGAATGACAGTGTTCCTCCATATTGAAGTTCATGAAGGAATTTCTTCCTGAGATATTTCCTTCTCTCACCCAAATGAATTGCATCTTAGCAGTATTACTGTGAGGAGGTCAGGAGGGAAAGCATGCACCTGTGTTTCCTTGGACAGAAAGAGACCAGAGCAAGCTCTCTTAAGTACTACTGCCTGAATTCAGGATGTGTGGAGGGCAGCTCTGTCTGGGACAGCATGGAGACAGGAGAGAGGTAGGTCCTGCCAATGGGAGCGCATGAGCAGGGCATTTGATGTAAGCAACCAGTTATTCAGGACTTCTTGAAGCATAGTTTTCCAAACATGGATTGTGACTCATTTGAGAGATCAGAGCATATTGAGCTTAGCAAAGATATTGTTTGGAAATTGTGTGTGTGTGTGTGTGTGTGTGTGTGTGTGTGTGTGTGTGTGTGTGTGTGTATTGGCAAAATGTATTTATTGCAGATCATGGTCAGAAAGTCTGAAAAGCATGGGTCTGTAGCAAAATTTGCCAAGTTGTTCCCCTAAAAAGAAAGATGGCCAGATGTAATCCTAGCTATTCAGGTTAAGATCTGAGGATTGCGATTCCAGGGCAGCCTGGACAAGAAAGTTGCTGAGACTCTGATCTCCAATTAACTAACCAAAAAAGCTGGAAATGGAGTTGTAGCTCAAGTGATACAATACCAGAGTTGAGCAAAAAAAAAAAAAAAGCTAAAAGACAACTCCCAGGCTCTGAGTTCAAGCCCCAGACAGACATTGAAATTAAATAAATAAACATAGAAATAAATGACAAGATGGTGAATATTTTAGTCTTGATTAGCCACAGGGTCACATAGAGTCTCTGTTAAAACGGAGTATGTGGATGTGATTGCAGATTGCAGTTCATTATAGTCGTGTGTATAAACAGAATAATGCAACTCATTGAAATGGTAAAACAAAAAAAGAGGGAGGAAAAAAGAGGTAAGAAAGAACAATGAAAAGACGAATATGATCAAAGCATATTATGTACATATGGATGGGTAGATCATAACGAAAGCCCTCTGTACAATTAGTATAACAATAACAATGTCTTAAAAATAACAATGTTTTAAAAATTATTCAGCCCTGCCCCTGTAGAGCAAAAGCAGCCAGGGCTGATACATAAACAACAGAGCCTGGCTGTGTTCCAATGAAATGTTCTTCGGCACGAGTTCAGATTGGGCCCAAGGGGCTGTAATTTGATGGACAGGGTGGGATGAAGGAGAAAGTCTCAAGAAAGTCATGCTGGGGGCGAGGCCACCTTGCAAGCCCTTTTCAACAACTCTGTTTTCAGACAGTGATGCTGACTGTATGAAGGCTGGACTGTCGAGGATGTATTTTTTTAAATTGTTTCTCATTTGTAGTTGCTTATCATTTTCCTTTCAAGGAGCACTAGAGATTCTTCAACGTAGAGGCCTTAAAAAGTAATGCCTCCTCTGCCAATTGGCATGTTCAGATGCCTTAAGCCTAGTTTGATGGATGAATGCTCACAGCCCAAGGAATCCTTGAAGAAGTCTCCCAGGGCACCTCAGCCTGGAACCGGACTCCATGTGCAGTAAATCACAGCAGAACTGAAAGGCAGGTCCACGCGGCTGTGGATGCTGCTTTTCATTTTGCTGGTCAGTCTTTCTGACTCTTTCCGTCTCAAGTTCTCCACCGTAAATGACCCAGAGTCTGTAGGAATTGGCTCACTCAGTCTCCAAAACAGAGATGGCTTCTTTCTATTCTTGTGCCTGATTGTGGAGAGGCTCCAAGCTGGCTGTCAGAATTACAGAGGAACTTGTTGACAGTACAGATTTTCTCTGCCAGGCGTGGTAATACTTGCTACTTAGGAGGCAGAGATCGTGAGATGGGGTTTGAACTCAGGCATAAAAAGAGTTCATGAGACTTCATCTTAACTCAATGGCTGGTGACTGTGGTGCACACCTCATCCCCAACATAATAGGAGGAATGCAGCTCATGCTTCCTAGGGAATAAAGTTAAGACTCTACTTGAAAATCACCAGTGCCAAAAGGGGCTGGAGTTGTGGCTCAAGTGGTAAAACTCCTGCCTAGCAGACATGAGGCCCTGAGTTCAGTCCCTAATACCACAAAAAAACCCCAAAAACCCCAAAAAGTAAAAGTAAACACATATTTTGTGTTCCAGTCTAACTTTGAATCTCTGTCTGTGTGGAGCTTGAGTCTGCATTTTAAGTGTGCCACCTCAACCACAAACACCATTGCTCAAGTGAATACCAGTATTTGGCTTTTCTCCAGGATTGGTAACAGGTGTGTGCCTATGTCGCCCATCTGTCTTTCCCCAAGCAGTGCAGAGGTATAGGAATGTTGGAGAACCGGAAGGAGTGATGATCCACATCAATGCTCATGCCTGCTCATCACCAGCCACCCACCTAGCCTCTCTGACAGTTCTAACTTGGAAAAGTCAGCTGGTCATAGGAGCTATCTATCTTAAAGATGCATTTTTTTCAGAGTCAAATGATCTCGTTACAGAAGAAGGAATAGAGAGATAGAAAGATCCTCGCTCAGAAACTAGCGAGAAACTTCTAGAATGTATGCACGTGTCTCCAATGGGACTGTTTCTAGTGTCCTTGAGGTATGGCATCGTGTATGTACTAACTAGGAATGCATAGAAGTGCCAAGAACATTTGGAAATCGTGGATCTGCCTCAGGCTTAGGGATGTCAAGATGTCACCCAGGGCTAGGCCCAGAGTGACCGAGACATACTCCGAGTAGAGATTTTCCCTGCTAATGTCTTGAGCTTTCAGGGTAAGCCAAGATAATATGCTGTTGGTAGCATCCACATTCTAGAAAGCTCTAGGCCCTGAACAACAGAAAACTTGTATTCATTTCTTGATCAAGGAATTAAGATCATTTAA